CAAACACAATATAATACCAATTTTTTTTGTAAAATATAAAATATGGTGTTGCACCAAGTAAAAAGATACCAAACATGCCATGGTTTAAAATTGCACACGCTTGTGAAATTGCGCCAAACTTCGGTAATTAAAAATCCTCACAAAGTTTTATAAGCCTTTACAGGTTACCAGTTTAGTTACAGAGGAGGTCTGGTGCTAGAATTATTGCTCTTGCTCTGACATTCGTGGCAATACCTCACATGTGTGGTGTGATCGGCGTTTATATTTGCATACAGGACCAATGTGTGCGTTCGCCTTTGCACGTGAGCACGGAGAAACAGGGTGCTTTAAATGTTTTTTATTTATTTATTGGTGGGACATTGGTACACTGACAGATGTTTTTGTGCATTTGTACATTGTGACAGATGTTGATCGCCCACCGGTGGACATCGACAGACGTTGATGTTGAGATTGGAACACCACTGCAGTTGTTCTGGTACACTCTAACATATGTTGATGTGACACTGGCATACTGTGACAAATGTTTTGTGCACTGGTACACTCTGTGACATATGTTGATGTGACACTGGAATACTGTGACAGATGTTTTGTGCACTGGTACACTATGACATATGTTTATGTAATATGTGACAATGGCACAGATGTTGATGTGACACTTGGACAGGGACAGTGACAGATGTTGGTGCTTCATGTACTGTGTGGGAATGGCAGAAATCTGTGTGTTCTGTGCATAGCTGAACACTCTCCCCCCCTCGCTGATCTCGGCGGGTAAAGCTGACACAGAGACACATGTCCCCATTTACACTGAATGATGGCTGTGATTGGATCGGGAGGGTCAATCACAGCACCCATATTCCAATCTGTGATGTGCTGTATTCACGATGGACACAGCCATCACAGGAGCGTGCTGCTGCGTGCCCGAGTCCGGAATGTCCTCTCAGAACAGGAAACTCCCACCCGGCAACTGCACATAAACGGCAGTTAAGGAGGTTGTAAACCTCAAACAAGAAATATAAACAAAGCATATCCCTCTATAGTGTGTACTTGTCTCAATCCAGAGCACTAGGTGTCATTTCTGTCTGCTGCAATTTTTCCTTGCTTTCTGCATGAATTGCTTCTGACAAGTTCACCTGACACCAAGAGAAAAAAGGTGACTGGGGAGGGAGCTTCAACATAGTGTAACTGAGCTCTGCAAAGTGTAACTTCAGCTCTCCGTCCCTTTTTCTGACAGTTCAGACAAGCTTATAAATTTTGGACTTTGAACAGAAGTAGAGAAGAGAAGACTGCAGATAAACAGGTACAATTTATTTAGGAGCATTTGTTTCATCTCTGTGTATCACCTGGGGTCAGCTAGTTCACTGTGTATATGTAAGGGTTTACAACCATTTTAATCAAGCTGTAGGAACTTTTATATTTGGACATGGACATGCTTACTACTAATAGATTCATGAGAACAACTTCAGGGTCACAAGACCTCTGGATCAGGGCAGAATGAGTGTCCAGAGAGCTTTACATGCAAAGCTAAGGTCTTGTAGCTGGTCTCCATAGCTGATCAGATTTAGCTGGATATTTACTGGGGATTTACTTTTTCAACAACTGGGTAGCTGTATTGGAAAAGTTAATGACCTGTTCTGTCAGACCATCAAACACATTTGCATTGTTTTTTTTTTTACCTGTGGGTGTACTCAAATTGCAACTCCAACTAAAAGATTTTCGTTAGCATTGGACAGAGTGAAAGATATCAAATCTGTCCCCATTGGAGAGATTTTCCCTGATTAGATAGAAATTAATGGCAAACAAAATTATTTTAATAAAACGAGGAAAGATTAGAACTTCTTTAATTTAACCACCTCAATATCGGCACTTTTACACCCTTCCTGCCCAGGCCACTTTTCAGCTTTCAGTGTTGATGCATTTTTAATGACAATTGTGTGCGGTCATGCAACACTGTACCTATAAAACATTTTTTATCATTTTTTCACACAAACAGAGCTTTCTTTTGGTGGTATTTAATCACAGCTGAGTTTTTTTATTACTTGCTAAATAAACAAAAAAATCCTGAAACTTTTGAAAAAAAAATGTTTTTCTTCATTTCTGTTATATCGCTGTATTGCTCTTCTCATTCCTCCTGACAGCAAGTACCTGTTTAGCAGATAAGCACTGAAGTCACCTGATTGGTTCTTTATGCTGTTTATGCCTCTCTGAGTCTGAGCTATGTTGTACAGCAGATTGCAAGAGACTGATACCATGTCAGATTCAGGCGATTACACTAGTTGCTTTAAACATACATTTTTTATCACTTTTTTAGAGAAAACAAACCAACATGAAGTGATGTTATCTGCCTGGAGTTCAGGCAAAAAAAAAGGGAAAGAAAATATGTTCAAAACCACTATTTCTCAAAAGAACGATAAACTGATAATACAGTCCTAATATTATACTGTAAATGTCAAAGTCAAGTTGACATTGTAGAAAGCAAATATGTTTTATCTGTATGAAATGTGCGTATATAAAGAGTGTAAACACAAGGACAGAACTGTCCTTATTTTACCTGATAGACAGCACTAACGAGCAGACTGCAGGCTTTGTCATGAGAAAGCACAACATGATAAGTATATACTGTATAATATATTGACATCATATTTGCATATAAGTGATTTCCAATTATACACAAAAGACTTTACCAGTCTTCACTAAATGTAAGCTGATATATATAATAACATATTGCTGCAGTGATGGACGTCACTCCTCCACAACATCTAACCCATACAACACCTGTGTTCCATGCGTGTTTCCCACATCACGTTCAAAACATACTGCAGCTGTGATCTGAAGCGGGTATCAATGTTAAATCAAAGACGCCCCAAATGCAGGTCGCAAAAGCATGCACTACATTTGGTGCAATGCAGTGCAACATTAGCCCATGTAAAATGAATGGGCTTAAATCTCATCACACTGAATCGCATGTGAATCAAACAGGAACATGCAATGTGTTCCTGTGAGATTCCTAGTGTGACTCGGCCCTAAGGCTAGGTTCACACTTATGCGAGTGGTTGTGGGAATTTCACCTATTCCTGCACTTGCAACCACCCGCAGCCAAGCTTGATGCTCTTTTAGACGCATGGGGCTTACATTTATTTATAATAGCACCCCAAGGCATCTAAAACTGCAGTGCGTTAGCGAGTGCGGGAACCACCAGGAAATCACATGGTGCAAAAGCACAATGCAATTTCCCTGTATGAAACGCATTCAAATAATTAGGCTGCCGTGCCTGCGCACACACGGCTCACGAGGCCACAATAGTGTGAACCTAGGATAAATGTGTTATCCATATCAATACACATACTCTCATCGATCTTATAGACTTCTGTCTCTTTTACTTACTATAACTGAGTGCTGTAACTCAATGCTTTGAATACTTTACTTTCTCTAATCCATCTCTTATACAGGGAAACTTTCCTATTCCTCATGCATCTATTCACTTTTTCTCTCACAGATGTTGCTGTCTTGTAGTTCTCTTTGTGCTATTTCTCACTGTTTACATTGATCACTTTCTATCTTTAGATCCTAATCGCTTGCCTATCTCTTTGGGTTCTTACACACTGGTGGCTGGGGTGGTCAAAACAGTGAGTGTTTGGCAGGTGGCACAGCTTGTCAAGTTTGCCCATTGAGAACAATGGGGTTGCACTGTTCAGCACAGATAAAAAAAAAACAGGTGCCTGCCAGCCATTGCTATACCGCCCTCTGAAAAGCAACTGAGGATATCTTTTCACAGGGCGGTAAGCTTACAGCCTGTCTGAAAGAGCCCTTTCTTTCTTTATTTTCTTGCTCCATTAAACCACATTTCATCTTCGTATCTACTAAGCTTTTTGTTTATGGATTTCTCCCCCCCCCCCCTCTCTCTCTTTCGCTCTCTCTATATATACACACTCACCAGTCACTTTATTAGGTACACCTGTTCAATTGCTTGGTAACACAAATTGCTAATCAGCCAATCGCATGGCAGCAACTCAATGCATTTAGACATCTAGATGTGATGAAGACGACTTGCTGAAGTTCAAACCGTGCATCAGAATGGAGAAGAAAGGAGATTTAAGTGACTTTGAACGTGGCATGGTTGTCAGCGCCAGATGGGCTGGTCTGAGTATTTAAAAAACTGCTGATCTACTGGGATTTTCACGCACAACCATCTCTAGGTTTTACAGAGAATGGTCAGAAAAAGAGAAAATATCCAGTAAGCGGCAGCTGTGTGGACGAAAAAATGCCTGGTTGATGTCAGAGGTCAGAGGAAAATGGGCAGACTGGTTGCTGTGACATTCAGATGGTAAAGTCAGAATTTGGAGTAAACAACATTAAAGCATTGATCCATCCTGCCTTGTATCAACGGTTCAGGCTGGTGGTGTAATGGTGTGGGGGATATTTTCTTGGTACTAGCAAGGTGTACCTAATAAAGTGGCCGGTGAGTGTATATATACACTATATTTTCAAAAGTATTGGGACGCCTGCCTTAACACAGACATGAACTTTAATGGCATCTCAATCTTAGTTTGTAGGGTTCAATATTGAGTTGGCCCAGCCTTTGCAGCTATACCAGCTTCAACTCTTCTGGAAAGTCTGTCCAAAAGTATTAAAAGTGTTTCTATGGGAATGTTTGACCATTCTTGCAGAATCGCATTTTTGAAGTTGGGCACTGATGTTGGACGAGAAGGCCTGGCTCACAATCTCATCCCATAGGCATTCTATCGGGTGCAGGCCAGTCAAATTCCTCCACTGCAAATTCGCTCATCCATGTCTTTATCAACCTTGCTTTGTGCACTGGTGTGCTGTCATGTTGGAACAGGAAGGGGCCATCCCCAAACTGTTCCCATAAAGTTGGGAACATGAAATTGTCCAAAATGTCTTGATATGCAAACATCTTAAGAGTTCCCTTCGCTGGAACTAAGGGGCCAAGCCCAACCACTGAAAGACAACCCCACACCATAATCCCCCCCTCCACCAAATTTTACACTTGGCAAAATGCAGTCAAGCAAGTCCTGGCAAACGCCAAACCCAGACATGTCCTTCGAATTGCCAGAAAGAGAAGCATTTCTCACCACTCCAGAGAACACGTCTCCACAGCTCTAGAGTTCAGTGGTGGAGTGCTTTACACCACTGCATCTGACACTTGCGCTGACCCCGCTCTGTCATTTTCGTGGCCTACTACTTAGTGGCTGAGTTGCTGTTGTTCCCATTTGCTTCCACTTTGTTATACTACCACTAACAGTTGACTGTGGAATATTTAGTAGCAAGGAAATTTCATGGAAGGACATATTGCACAGGTGACAACCTATCATGGTACCATGCTTGAATTCACTGAGCTTCTGAAAGCTACCCATTCTTTCACAAATGTTTGTAGAAGCAGTCTAAGTGCTTGACTTTAAATACCTGTGGCCATGGAGATGATTGGAACACCTGAATACAATGATTTGGAGGGGTGTCCCAATACTTATGGCAATATAGTGTATATATATACATACTGTATATTTAATTTATGGCTTCATTATGAGACAGTGTATGGTGAAGAATCACATCATGTATGCATGGTACACACATAGGTGCTTTACATTTGCATCATTTGCCATGCCTCTTTGCCCATGCAGACATTATTCTTTGTGTTTTTACAGGATATTTCAGCCATTCTTACTTAGGGCATTTCACTTTTTAAGACGTTTTGTTAAAAATGGCATAACTTATCCTACAATTACTGTGGATTATCATGTGACAATATAATGTACAAATGAGTTTTGCTATAATAAACCATATTCTGAAAAAGAAACCTGTAGCATTCTTCTGGGGGCTTTTATTTAAAAGCACACTATATCCATTATTTGAGTATTTACAACGTAAATTTAAGCAGGCACCATTCTCTTATTGTGGAAAGATTACATCATACCTGTACACGTGTATCTTGTACTCTGTCACAGGCTGGTCACCATTTTTTCTCTCTTTAAGGCTGTGTTCACGTTATCATATAGAGTTCCTTCTACATGATTTTGCGATTTTCCCACGAGTCTGCGTGTCACATAGGGCAGATCATCCACTTAAATGAGCTGCTCTATGCACGTTTGGCACCCAAAAAAGAAGTTCCTGCTCCTTTTTGGATGACAAACTTCACATGACAATTGTGGCAAAATTGCATGACGTTTGGTGTGCCATTGTAAAATAATGGCAACCAAATGTGCGCAACATGTTGTTATGTGTTTGCCACGCGATATGGGATTGAGGACAGAATCACTGTGATTCTGCCCAGGATCCCAAATTGCGAGATGTGAATGAGGCCTAAGAGAATGTCATTATAATTCACAATTTTCCTCCTTACGGACGAGTGGTTTTTACCACATACAATAGAGGACAGGGACAACTAGCTGTATAAGTTACATGACTGAGCATACACAGTAGCAAGAAGAAGCATAATCCTTCTAGGATGAGCAATAAATCAGAATAAAACAAAGAAGATAAAGACAAGAAGATAGTTTTCAGCCTGTCCTCATTCACAATAACTTCTAATCATGAAAAAGTCCATAAAATAGGTTTGTCCCTTGTTCAAGTAACCATTTTTTTTTTGGGGGTCAATGATATACAGTACATGTATTTGCCCACAAGCTGGCATTAACCTTTTCCCGCCCAGCCTATGGCCAGATGGCAGCCAGGCGAGCACCTTGCCGTTCCCGGTTGACGCCATATGGCGTCCTTTTGGGCATGCGCAGTTTGCGCTCCCGCAGAGCTGCGCGATCTGTCACCGGTCATGTACCTCGGACACGGCCGATGACAGATCTGAGTACCAGCCCCGTTGCCGGTACCATGTGACCTGCTGTGACCAATCATGACAGTTATATACAATGGATGGCTTCATTCATGCCATCCATTGTATACTAGTGTGCCTAGCTGTGAATGGTCACAGCGATCACATGCACAAGCTGGGCCAATCACAGCCTAGCTGTGTCTTGTGATTAGCCGTGGCCAAATCACAGCTAAGCACAAAAAAGAAACCCTGAATGAATCAATGTCATTCAGGTAAATGCTTGCTTATAGCAAAGTAATTCTTTGCTATAAGCAAATAGTGTTTGCTTACTGATCACTTCCCCAAAGTAGTACAATGTTACTATGGTAACATTGTACTACTTTGGCCATAGTGAAATATGAAAAAAAAATCTTTAAAAAGGAAAAAAAAAATGTAATAAAATATTAAAACTAATAAAAACATTTTTTTTTTTTTTAAGTTATTTTTTCATACTGTTACCAGTCAGTGTCCCTGATCACTGCCATGCTAGTTATATGTTGACGCTGTACTGCACTGGTGACAGTATGTAAAAAAAATAGTGAAAATAATTTTTTAAATTTTTTAATTTTCTGAAAAATTATGACAAAAAAAATTATAAGTTCAAAAAACTCACCATGCCTCTTATGAAGTAAGCCGGACTGTCTACTTTGCAAAAAGGGGTCATTTGGAGGATATCTGTACTGTTCTAACATTCTTGGACCTCAAGAAATTAGATTGGCTGTCAGTACTTCAGGATTGATCAATATTCAGATCTATCCCATAATTTGTGAACTCTATAACTTTCCTACAAACTAAAAAATACATCCTAATTTGGGTTATTTTCACCAAAGACATGTAGTAGAACACATTTTTGCCTAAATTTATGAAGAACAATTATGTATTTGCAAACTTTTATAACAGAAACAAAGAAAAACGTGTTTTTTTTTTTCAAACTTTTCTGGCTTTTTTTGTTAATTTAGCAAAAAATAAAAACCCCAGTGGTGATTAAATACCACCAAAAGAAAGCTCTAGTTGTGTGAAGAAAATGATAACATTTTGGTTTGGGTACAGTGTTGTATGACTGCGCAATTGCCATTCAAAGTGTGAGAGCGCTGAAACCAGAAAAATGGCCTGGGCAGGAAGGGGGTAAAAGTGACCGGTATAGAAGAGGTTAAAATTGAGTTTGAGAATAACAGTCTTTGAAAAGTGAAAATGAATAAGAATCCTCTGATGTTAAGGAGCCTTTCACTAAGGCAGACCACACATTATGCAATTTTCTTTCCTTCAACCACAGATTGAAGAAAAGAAAATTTCTTGATTCTCCTATTAACACAGTCAGTGTTATGGGGGAATCCCTCTCACTGTGTTATTGTATTCTGATAGTGGGAGGTTTCCCAGTCGTCAGAACAGAATGATCATGATTTCAAATGAAAATAAACCCCCATCAGGCTGGTTGTACTGAAGTCAATTGATAGAATGACTTCAGTACATCCAGCCTGCCCATAGATGGATCGAAATTTGTCTGGTTCCATCTGATAGATTGACTGATTTCAGTACAACCAGCCTGACCATGGATGGATTGAAATTCAGCTGGTTCCTTCTGATCCGGCCAAATTTCAAACCATCTATGGCCAGCTTTACTTACATCTTAGGAGTGACTTTACACTCCCATCTCTCAGGGAGGAAGTATACAATTGTTTGCTAAGCTTGTGAAGATTGAATTGGGGCTCCCGTGGAGAAAAAAAAAACAAGCAGGGCAAAGAAAGAATACCATTTAACATACAGAGAAAGAAAATCATTTTGCAAAACAACAGAGAACTGCTTGTAAAACCAGCAGACAAGGGCGGAAAAAACACCAGTAGCTGGAGATTTGCTTAGATATATTAGGTAACACAATAAATTATGAAATACTGACAAGAGATCCGACTAACAAATATTTAAAAGCTTCAGGGGAACAAAACTATGGAGTTAAAACTGGTGTTGAAGGAGGAGTTTAAATATATAATAAACCATAATCAGGCTATAGCCACTTTTTTATCTTCCAAAAAATACACAAATATCAACCTGCCAAAAAAAGCTAGCATATATGTTGATACAATATTAAAGTAGTACTACTGTTAAAACAACAAACTGCCAATGAAGATGGATTAAGACCTGGCAACTAGGAGAAGTCAGGGAGAATATGCTGAACCCACCAAGGAACCTGCCAGATGTCAAATTGTCGGAGCAGAGGTCATTTTCTGCCCCTCTAGTTCCACTTTAAGACCATTTATATAAACAATGCCTTCATATATTGAACATGTGTGGGATTTTATTAACAGACTGAAAGATATTTTTTTGAAGGCTATAACCTGGGGTTAAAAGTTTGCAAACACTTTTTGAAAACAAGAGAAACTGATTTTCATGGACATGCATATTCGTGTCAGAGTAGCTACAATTTACACCTTACTACACCTACAGAGTATTAATCCAGGCAGCAATGGGAAATGCATATTCTCCCATATATATTTTTCTTGGGTGGTGGGAAGACACGGAAGCATTAAGTAGAGAACTGCAGATGCACATCCAACTGTTGACTAGATTCATAAATGATGTTTTTATCTAATGTAATGGAACCAAAATAAAATTTGGTGATGAAGCTGAATCAAAATTCAGTGGCGATATACTTTGTGCATAAGACCCATGAAGGTTCCATCATCTTTCTAGACTTATCTGTCAGGAAGGATGAGATAGGAATACTATTTAGAAACCCCTACTGAAAACCGACCCCTACACATTGGTCAAACAGGACTTATTAGAATCCTCACTATGCCCTGTTTTTGTTTATTTGTATTTGTTTGCATTGGGTCTACTTTATTCTTTAGTCACTGGATAATTTCAGTCACCCTCTTCAATTTAAATAATTTAAATAATTTTTTAGTGTTGACCCCATTAGGGTTTACAAGCAAAGGTAAGTAACTTTAATGCAGAAAAGACATAGCATGACTCTTCTGCATTAAAAATCTTGCATATATATATATATATCTTTTTTTAGGAAATGTTCTACTTTAAATCCAAAGGTGACATATGAATAAAAACAGCATTTCAAAAGCCCCCTATATTCCTAAATTCATAGCTGCTGTGTACTCCAATAGTCAAAATTACAAAATGTCTTTGCTATGCTTTCAACAACATTTATTATGCGGTTCCTACCTGCAATATTGCATTTGGCCACAAGATGGAGCCCAGAATAAATGTACTGTTTTGCAGAAACAAGAAACTGCTTTGGTAATAAACGTTCCCATCATCCTTCATTCTAAGAAAAGGAAACTGGTGCATCCTGGGAGCTAAGACTCCATCTTAAGAACTGAGGGAAAGGAACCAGCCATAATTCTCTGCAGCACATGTCATTGACTGAACTTACATCCCCTACAGGCAGCATCACTGGTGAGCATTGCCATCTACAGCCTAATCATTTCACTGTGTTGGTATTTCTCATTTGTTTCTCACAATAGTTTCATCCCACCCTGTTTTGTAAATAAAGCTTCAAGATTACATTCAGTCTGGCTTATTGTAGAATCAGAGGGTATAGCTGCATGTTGAGTTACACACAGGGAAATGTGTAGCGAGGACA